GTGTCACTGCTTTTGCTGATCCCGCGGCTGTTGCCGATTATGCGCTTTGAGGCCCTTTAGTACTCCGGCGGATGATGCAGGGGAAGGGGGAGGACCAGGGGAGGAGAGGCAGGAGGGATCACAATTGCAACCAGCCTTCACTGCTGCCATATCCAGACGAGTCAGCATGGCGGAAGCAGTGAAAGGGGGGTCTGGGGGTGACGGGGGGGGACGGGTGGCGGGGAGGGAGAGAGGGAAATCACAATCGTGACCAGCCTTGACTGCTGCCATATCCAGGCGAGTCAGCATATTGTGCCATGAAACTATCGTTGAATTTTTGGAACGTTGCCATGACACCGGCCATCTTCTCCAGCGGAGGCAAGATGGTTGTTCTGAGGTGAAATGTCCCGGGCTTCTGCCCAAACCCAGATCCGGGAACGGTCGAAATTCCGGTCTCCTCCAGGAGCCGCAAACAATAAAACACGTCCGGTGCCTTGCCGGCCTTTTGCGCAGCCTCGATCGCGCGCTTGGGGAGGTGTATGTTGGGGAAGGAGTACATAGCTCCCTCCGTGAAATTACACGTGACATTCTTACAGCGATTGAACCCATCTGTCATGATTCGCGCCCGGGCTCTGAGCGAATCGATGATCTCTTTTTTCTCAGCCACGTAGCGTGCATACGAGTAGTCGCCAGGCTTCGGCGGGCTCACCATCAGCCCCATCATTACCTGCCCTCCCACATTTGGACTCAGACTGATGGACGCGACCTTGTAGAGCTGATCCACAGTCTCCGGGTGAATGTTCGTGAATTCCATATACCCTCCTCTTTGACCGCATTCTCCAATAGGTCCCTTGGAGACGGTGTGGAAAGAGATCAACTCTAGGGACGTACTCACAGGCGGCCCCATGTCCATCATCACCTTTCTTGCGCTGACAAAGGGTCGTTCGTCTTGGTAGATGTTCTCCTGATAGACTTCGTCGGCCAGAAGGACTATGCGGTTGCGGACAGCGAAGTTGATAAGGGATCGTAGATTTGCCTCAGAAAGGCACTGTCCCGTAGGATTTCCTGGATTGATGAACACGAGCGCGCGCACGTTCACCCCGTTGCCCCTAGCTGCGTCATACTGTCTTTGCACCTCGTCAATGTCCAACGACCAGCCGCTCTCTTCCTGAAGGTAGTAGGGCACAAGCTGACCGCCAAAGAGTTGAATCGTCGCCGAGTAAAGAGGGTACTGGGGAACAGGAACCATGACGCCATCATGCTCATTGCGTATGACAGACTGCAGGACCTGGGAAACGCCTTTGCTAGCACCGTCGGTTAAGAAGATGTTCTCAGGGTTGCTGGGGTAGCCGTCACGCCTCTCGACGAACTCTGCTACCTGCTTACGAATGAGCGGGATTCCCCGCGAGTCGCTGTATGCTCCGATACCCCCCGGCATGCTGCTGAGGTACTGCTTTGCACGAGCAATAGCGTCTGGCGGAAAGAGAAGACGCACGTTCTGGTCCTCTATGAGAAATGGTGCCTGAACGAGCGCCATCACCTGTCGAGAGAATGTCAGCGGTTTCTGGCCCAAGGCATGAGGATTGCCCACATTTGTGAAGATGATCTCTTTTCCTTGGCTGAGCAGCTCCTGCGCACGCAAGTAGAGCTCCCCTCGAACTGCATACTGCGTCTTTTTGACATTCTCATTTAGCTTGCTGGGATGGAATACTTTTTCATCTCCGGATGCCATAGCTGCTGGGAAATCATCATTGGCAGCAAACACAATTTGGAGGAAACACAATTTGGAGGAAGAGGAGGAGGAGGGGACGACCAATGCAAAATATGTCATCCGGCGGAAGATGCAGACACAGCAGGGGTGCTTCTTCGAAGCGACAGCCAACCACCAACACCTCCAGACAAAGGAGGAGAAAACATACATCAGAACTCCAAAACTATTCATTCATCAGTATTCCCTAACAATAGCATCACAAGCCAAAGAACACTTTGTGATTTGACAGGTATACTGACGTGGCAACTTGCTGCAGACCTCAAGGAACCATTTATAACTTATCATTTTTTGAATCACAAAGTTATAAATGCTTCCTTTAGGTCTGCAAGGAAGGGAAGGTCACAACATCCAACAGGGCCAAGGAAATAGTCATTTGCACTGGAGGCAGAAAGGGACTCTGCCATGGAGGGACTGTTTAAAAAAAAAAAAAAGAAAAAAAAAAAGAAAAAAAAAGAAAGGGACTCAGCCATCCAAACATGCAGATGGCCCAGCTTGGAGGAAGCAAAAGCAAGTGTGTGCACTGTGCAGTGCTACACTGAACTTCTCTGACTTGCCAGCTGACTACTGTCTTAACCCGAAAATTAACCCCAAAAAAACGTGCGTACTATGCACGTTCTATTCAACTAAACCCGCAAAAACGGGCTCTCCGAAATCGCTGAATTTTTCCCCAATAGAACGTACTGTCGAATACAACGTACGTACATTGTATTCAAATTTTTGCAAATTTCAATTTTCGAAAAATCAGAAAAATTCTGGAAAAAAAAAAAGAGAGCTGTGAAACATTGCAACACAAACAACTTTTACCCGAGGGCCATGTCGAAGTTCACAACCAAATTCAATAAACAAATAAAAAAAGAATAAAAAATATATATTTTAGGCTTTTAGGGCTTTTTTTTTTTTTAATTATTCTTATTCTTATTCTTATTCTTATTCTTATTATTATTAAGCTTTTAGGGCATTTTCAAGTGTTCTATGATTTCTTAAGAATTTCAATTTTTCAAAAATAATTAAAAAATCCGAAAAACAAGTTAAAAAAAACTGTGTTATACAAAATTGCGATACAAACAACTTTTGCCTGAGGGTCTTGGAGAAATTCCCAACCACATTCGAGAAAACAAAATACCTACGTCGGCTCCTACAAGTTGTACCCTAAAACTCGTTCTATAATGTATGTACGTTGTGTTCGATTACAACATTCCCCGTACTTTTTTATTTTTTATTTTTTATTTTTATTTTTTTTTAAACAACCTGAGGAAGTAGTAGTGGTGCTGGTAAGAGCAGACACCACTACTACTTCTCATGGCGGCTCCATCTATTGGTGGGGAGCGGCACCTGCTGGAAATCGGGTCCAGCATCCCGGCACAATGTATCACATACGGACATCACTGTTGATCATAGCTAGATCTGCCTCTTCAGCCCTTCTTTCAGGCCGCCTGTTGCTTTCCATAGTCCCTAGGAAAGCAAAGTCCCTAGCAGTCTAACCTATCTCTTGACGCCTTTTCCTTCACTCTCCCTCATAAATTGCCTTGCCTACTAAACTATTTGCTGAGGGAGGGAAGAAGTCTGGAAATTGATCACTTGGTGGGCGTATATGAAACGGTTTTCACATTTTAGCAGTRGCGGATGCAGTACCCAGGGTTCGATCCCTAGACCTCACCCTACCCGTGTACAGTATCTGTGTAGACCCGAGAGTTGAACCTGTGACCTGTGTATTCGCAGACAGTTGGTAGGTCTGTCGCAGGTCCATAGGCAGCAGGGGTTCGATCTGTAGGTCTATAGCGTAGAAGTCTTAGTGAAGTTCCGGAAGCTTAGCTGTAGACCTTCTAGAAGGTAGGCAAGTGGACAAGTGGTCAAGTGGCGAGGCAAATGGTGGACTAAACTGCAGTGCAATAGCAGTACGACGTCGGTAGGATAGCGGTGAGTCCACAGTCAGTCAGCAGAAGGTCCAGTCAGTCCCAGTCCGGTCCAGCAAGTACCACGGGGGGACTGTGAGCACCATGGGCCGATGGCAAAGGGCAGACCAACGAGTTTCTGAAGTATAAATCAAGAGGCAGCGCCCAGCCATTCATTCATTCCTGCGTGAGCCATGCGGAAGCGCTGCCACAGCGACTTGTGCAAGGAGGTCTGCAGATGAGCCCGGAGGACGCAGTGGGCAAGAGAGGAGGAGTTAGTATAGCGATAGGTTAGAGGCAGCGATAGCTGCCATAGCTGTAGTTAGTAGAGTGTGTGTGTGTGTGTGTTCGAGCGTTAGAGTGATGCGTGTGGGATATCCAGGGTGATCCAGTGTATGTGAACAGTGAGATGTTTGGGCGCTGAAGTCGCCATAGCCAGTTAAGAGTGAAGTCGTATCCAGAAGCCATATCTCTGAGTTTTGAGTGGGCGCATGTCGCCAGTTTGCTGCGTTGCTGTTGACATGCATGAAAAGTGTGTTTGAGAACGAGTCTGATTGCATATATAACATACTTACGATTTTTCGAGCTAAGACAGCCGGAACCGGACTGCTGCGGGCCGGAATATAACGGGGAGCAAGGGACCATAAGGCCTCTCTTCGTTTGGTGCAATGAACCCAATCCCGTTGAGAAGCCCATCAGCAATGTCATGCAAGTCTGAACCCAGCGCTGAATGTGAAGTCTCTAGCAGCGGCGAACCATCATAGAAGAGCAGGAGAGAATGGATAGGGAAGAGGAGAGACAGAGAAGGGCGAAGCAAGAGTTACATCAATAATCAATATGACATATATGCCCCTCTTCAGTACCACTTCTACTTCGGGCTTCTCCCCTGTTGCCACCTCATCCATTCATGCTCCCCTTCTGACGATCACTGAAATAGTCACTGTGCTTTACCAGGGGAACGCCCATCCTCCTACCACTGTTCAAGCCAAGCTATGGAGGACGGCGCTATCGTTTTTCGAGTTTGTGGAGACCGCCAGCAATTCGATGGCAGCAGGTACATCCAGGGAAGCTTCCCCTCGAACATCTTATCAGTCCCACAGACCGGGTCCTACTCCTCCTCCTCGCCCAAACTCATCACCGCTATGGCGGCTATGGCCGCTCCAGCATGTCCTCCTACAAGGCTGATGCCATCCAGCAACGTCTGGCGCCAGCACCTCTCCTTCGCCAGCCTCGCCATGAGCATCTGGGCCACGAGCAAATGCAAGACAAAATGAGCCGCCCCTCGGCCTGGTCTTCTCCTTATAGCGTTGGCTGGCGTTGACCAGCCTCCCGCTGCACCATGTTGACGTCCGAGATTTTCCTGAAATCGATGGCCTGGATGCAATGCTGTCCCAGATGTATCGTGCCCCTGCTGGAACCTGAATCTTCTGGAAACCCGCAGAAGACCTTGCATGTGCATTTAATCGTTGGCCGCGACGCACGTGGTTAACGGGGACCCTCAGTTTCAGCTCCTGACTAACAGGTGCAAAACTGAAATAGGGTTTGGGCCCTTGGGGGTCAAATTTTATGTTTGTTTTTTCTTGTTTTTTTTGCCTGTTTTTGTTTTGGTTCAAGGTTGCTGTGTACCAAATTTGGTCTCATTTGGAGCATTGGAATTTCTGAAATCGAATGTTGGCGAAAGTTGCATGAAAGTGCACTTCTGCCTTGCTGTTTCATATGGTGTTTTTTTTTTTGTTTTTTTTTTTTTCGCAATTAGTTACTATGGTATCTACTCTATGACTTGGTGGCAAGTTTGGTCAAAAAGACCCTAGGATTTCGTTATAAATGGCATGGCAAGTTGTCTGAAAATTAGGGCCTCCGTTAACTGCCTCTCGGCCACGATTGACAAGTGGGAGACTTTGACTTTGGGCCTGCATTTCCCGTGCTGATGGTGCTGGGTTTGACTCTTGATTTTCCAAGAGCCAACTGCCTGGCGTGGGGGTACTGGGTGCAGCTTTTGACTCAGATCTCTACAGGACTCAGGACGTGACTTTTGAGTCTGACAATGTGACAGCAAAAAGGACAACTGGATATGCACCAACTACCCTCTGGTATAGACGATATGCTGCTAGGCTGATTAAACCACCAGTACTTGGCCCAACTAAAAACAAAACGGTGCTCGTATACCGGCGCAAGTTTCAGGGGTCATTGAAACAAAAGCCCGGTCGCTCTTTACTTTCACGAAAGAAAGGAAAAAAAACAAAGACAAGAAAGGCGAAAACAAAACATAATTCAACTCTGAAAAAAAAAAACAAAAAAAAAACAGAAAGACATCCTCGTGCGGGGGGCGGGCCGCAGACACACAGAAGAGAGAGCGAGAGAGAGAGAGAGAGAGAGAGAGAGAGAGAGAGAGAGAGAGAGAGAGAGAGAGAGAGAGAGAGAGAGAG